CCTCAGGGTTTCGGTTTGATTTACCTATTTTATTTTATTTTTATTTATTTCGTTTTGTTTTATTTTTATCTTATTTTGTTTCATTTTATTTTGTTTGTTTTATTTTATGTTGTTTTACTTTACCTTTTTCAGAAGACAATTTTTTGATCGTTGTTGTTGCTGTGGAACGGCCTATGTTTCTGTCTTCGTCGGCGAAATCCCTCTGGACGGCTACTGTGTAGTGATTGATTTTGGGTTTTGTTAAAATACAACGCAGAATTTTTGTTGTTTGTAACGTGTCAGCTGGTTGTTTGCAACTTATCCGGCCGCGCTCCGATCATTATCAACACTCGATTCAAGCAACTTCGCGCTAGATCAAGCTTTACAAAAAGAATTCGCAACTACGCAGTCAAATCACCGTCTACGATTCAATATTACAACGAAAAATTCTATGTTGCAAACGACCAGCTCACACGTTACAAGCAACAAAAATTCTGCGTTTTATTTCAACAAAACCCAAAATCAACCACTACACAGTAGCCGTCCAGAGGGGTTTCGCCGACGAAGAAAGAAGCAGAGGCCGTTCCACTGCAACAACGATAAAAAGATTGTCCTCTGAAAAAAATAAAGTAACACAAAACAAAGTAAAATAAAACAAAATAAGATAAAAACAAACAAAACAAAATAAAATAAAATAAAAAAATACACAAGACAAAATAAATCAAATAAAATAAAGCAAAACAAGATAAAACAAAAATAAAACAAAACAAACTAAATAAAAATAAAATAAAATAGGTACATCAAATCGAAACCCTGATGCGAGTTCACATAAAACAGTTTATCTATAAAAAACATTTTAGTAATTCGAAACAATCCGCACACGATAATAATTGAAGTCGAGCTACTATATTGGTGGGGGCATAAATATGATTGGTAAACAAAGCACAATGCGCACACGCGACTAGCTGGAAAGCGATAGGTTTCGTCTTGTTCTCTAAAAACGTTGTAGTTTCACAAACAATTTTCATCTGATTATGTCAAAATCAAAGTCTTCCTTACATTTTTAACTACTACATAATACATTTTTGAGCAACAAACAGATGATAATGGTGTCACAAATGGGAAGTCATTAGTACCTAAGATGGACATAAGAAGTTTTATATTTATGCACTTTTTGGTAAGTAGTAATACTAGACATAGTAAGCTAGATTATATTTTTTTCTGTGTACCTCTGCGTGAACTAAGAATAAAATCTTGAAAAAAATATTTTTATTTTTTTTTAATAGTAAATAAAAATAAGAGAAAAATTCTATAAAAAATATATAATGTAAACTAATGTTTTGTCTAACGAACAGTTTTTATTTCATTAGGGCAGCTGCAATAGTTTTCTAAAAAAAACGATTTTGAAAAATACCCGCTCTATCGCCTATTTGATCAATGATCACCAGAACGCAGCGAGATGCGAGGCTGAATTTGTGTCAATGGTAGATTTATATCTAGGCGATGTTACCACACAATTTATTTTCAAAATACCTTTCTGGGGCCGCTGACCTTATCTTATCCTGCTAGACCCTTTAATTACTCCATTAATATAAATTGATTTCAACCTCCTTCAATAAATGACCTGAACAAGCGTAATGGGCAATAAGTCCCTATTTTAGGTGATTCTGGAACAATAACTCATTTAAAAATTTAGAGAAAAGATATTCGTAGAGTACCTAAGTTCGATACCAACATTCGATAGTGCTACTTCTAGTTCCAAATTGGCTACGCGCTTTCCAATGCATGATCTGGGGCCAAAACCAAAAGGCATGTATGCAAAAGGATGCACATGTTTTGCAGAATATTCATTTTCTGTTGTTCGAAGCCACCTTTCAGGAATTAATTTTTCAGCAACCTTGAATAGTTCCGAGTTGGCACTAATTATATGCATGGCAATAATATCAGTCTGTAAAGGAAGGAAAAATAATTATTTCATTGTGATGAATAAAAAGGTGAGTTGAGGTGAGGTGAGAATATATTTAAAGAGTAAGTGAAAAGTGTAATATTCCTAAGTATTTGTCATATTTGATTTTAATAATAAATAAATTTCATGACGATTTCCTTTATTACGTATTATATTATTTATTATTCTATAAATGACTTTTGAAATGACAAATTTGGCGGTTTAAAAAAAATCATTAGCGCTCTGGAAACCAAGAGTCGATAATTCCCCTAGGAAATGGCGGAAGATATAAGGGATGAGGAGCATACATAATTAGAATTGTAAGACCGCCGAAACTGAATCTGACGAGGAACAAGATTTAGACCATGGAAAAACTACGGGAAAATGAAGTTACTGTACCGACAAAGGAAAAGCATTCTGCCATGTTAGACACAGTAACAAGATAGAGAATAGAAAGATTAAAAACAATCCAATCAAAATAGTTAAGGAAGTGTAGTTTATGATTCGAACTTTCATTCTAAAGAACTACAACTACGATATTATTCTAATTGACTTAAGAAAACTCCAATGTTGTCTTCTAAAATTCATACTTTCAACAATAATGAGTGCAATGGAATTAGGAACTTGCTCACTCGGCCACAGAAAATTAGAGGTCTAGTAGGAAACACCGAACATAATGTCAAAAATAGTGGAGATTTTATCAACAGCATTAAAATGTCCAGCTAGGTAGTCCTCATTATCCTATTGAATTTTGTCATGATGTCATTATTCACAATTTGACTTTTAAAGAAGCTTTGAGAAAACTTCATCGAAGAATCATCGCGGAATGCGGATGATGGAAGAGAAAAGGATGAGAATTTAGTGGACCTGACAAAAGCCTAACAAATATCTACTTCGAAGCGTTAAAGAATTAGAACTACCTGGAATTTGATTCAGGAAAAATAAAGGATCAGAACGTCATAGGTAGATTTCAAATCATACGTCGGACGCTATGGACAGAACAAATATTAATACTGGTAAGTGCGGACATATCCAATACCCCTGAACAGTCTCTTCGCGCGTCTAAGGGCTTACAACTTGTATGAATATTCCTGAACAGTCTCTTCAAACATATGGTCTAATCTAAAGGCTGATTAATATTTCGGAACAGAGGTACAGTGTAATTGTGATATGTAATATATTACAATTTCATAACTATATATGTTTTTAGTTGCCCAAATATTCAGAAATGAAGAAATTAGGTTAGAAGTAAAGTCATAGTTATTGTACCTACACTTTTCGGAATTTTATGGCCTCCAAGAACCATGTCTTTTACGGTAATTCTTGCAGTTCCTATCGCTATTAGAGCTATCCTGTTGGATTCTTTGATTACTGCCTTAAGATATGGTGATTTGTTAAAAACTTCTTTGGTAACTGGTGATTTTTTCTCTGGAAAATTTTTAAATGCTTCCTCTCGAAGGCATTGCTGTTTGTCTGGATTTTTTGCAAGAAAGTATATTAGGGCAGCCAACGTTTTTCCTGTCTGAAAAATAAATGACAAATAGGTATCTGAAGTTTTTCACACTTATTTCAATGCAATTCATGTCAGTAACATCAAAAATGTAAACAGTAAAAAAAACTGAAAGTGCTGTGACAACAATAAAATCAAATTGTAACAAAATTGGATACTTGTTGTATCTACTAGTATGTGTAACCTATTTGTTTCATTAGTAATATTTCGGTATTATTAGCTTATGGCATGTCGTTTGGTCATTTAGAAATATGTTAAATGCTAGAGGCATACCATTACATTACATTTACCTATTACCTATTACATTTTTTTAATCAGCGTCCAAATAATTAAAAGTTCATTTTGTGGTCCGATGAATCTAATTTTTCAAATTCTGGAATATGCAATAAACAGGATCAACATTATTGGAGTCAAGAAAATCCTATAACAGGGAATCCACAGAACCGCTTTAGTTTAAATGTTTGGCGCGGTTTAATTGGTTCGCAATACAATAATGTATTAGAATTAGAAAATAGCATTAGAAACATTTTGGAAAGCATTGATGGCAGAACTATTCAGAGTGCAGCGCGCAGTGTTTTGGGCTCAGAAATGTATTGAACAAGAAGGCAACGTTTTTGAACATTTATTAACCTAACATTAACCTAATTGGTTGAGTTTTTTTTACTGTTTACATTTTTGACGTTACTGGCAAGCATTTCAATGAAATAAATGTGAAAAGCTTCAGAAAAATTACGCGATGCTCAATTGTTTTTTCGATAGGAAAAATGCTACTAGTTTGCTAATTTCGTTTTTAATGACAACACAAGAAGTACTTATATCATAAGGGAAATTTGTTTATTATTATCATGTATGTATGTATGTCGGAGGGTGGTGGAATTGTCTTCCACCACGGCACTTACGCCTTATTAGGCCCCTTGTACACCCTCCTTCACTACTCGAGTACTTTTCTTTTATTATTATCATATTCTATTATATTATATTATTATTCATATTATCATCTAATAATTTCTAATCTAATAATTAGGTAATAATTCCATCTAAGAAAAATCAACTTCTATGAAAAGATATCGCTACCTGCAACTAACATTGGTATGTTAAACAGGAACCCTACTTTTTATACTAATTCGGATTTTACGATTAAAAATACGTAGGATTTGTTTGAAACATTTTTATCAATACAAGATAGATGGCGCTGTAATCGACAAAATTCATTTTTTTAAATTTCTCCTGCTGAGAACCTACGCACACGATTTTGCAATACGTTTGTAATAAAAAAATGACCGCGTTGTATGTATGTAAATACTCAAAATTCGTTGTCAAAAAAGTTTATTTACTCTGCAAATTTCGAATAACTGGGAAGTTGTTCCCTGTAGAAAAAATGGCTGAATAAACTACTTTTAGCGTAACCTAGGAACAATAACGTGGAGGTAGTAGTTTTCTGTTCCCTTCCGAGTCCCTTCGCCTGTCACGTATCAATGTACCTGATTTATATGAGTCTCCCTTCGACTTTCACTGAGTGCTTGATTTACACGAGTCTCCTCTCCTCATCATTTTCCAGTTAAGGCCTGCGCATACATACGCGGTAAGCTAAGCGGTGGTGGTGGCGGTGGCGTTTGAATGTAACGCATATAGACAAGGCGAAATCGGCGGCTTCGTATGAAAAAATTAGTGGATTCGATTTTTTTGCATAATCACCTCCGTGAGATGTCCTTGAATGAGGATCAATATGTTACCGGTAACCTGGTCACAATTTTTTTAACTAATTTTTTTTAAACAAATTGTAAAAATAACCGGGGTATTCTAAACAAAATAGTTCCTATGCACTATGCTCCTAAAATCAACGGTTTCCGAGTTATAAACAATTTAAATTACGAAAAAATGCAGAAACGGTCATTTTCAAGACTCAAAAACAATAACAAAAAATCAAGGTTTTGATGTTACTAAAATTTAAAAGTAATCTTTAAACATACCTTGACAAAATACGGAGGAGTTATTTGGTGTAATTACATTGCAATGCGTATTACTTTACCTATTAACAATATACATTTACAATATACATATTTAAAATTAAAAACTACTTTTGTGGTACACTCTTTAAGCGGTTAAAGGGGGTTAAAATGAGATTTTTTTATATGAACTACCTACCTTATTTTGCCGCAAGGAATCGCTCCCAGAATTGTGTAGAACTTATTTATTTACATCCTGTATAACTTCGTAAACTTGGGAGTGCAAGGATGAATCAATCAATCACGAAACTGATGACCTGAGTCTGTAAATTTGATTTATGTATTTTTATCGATTTTATAAACGCTTCACTGAATTTCTGAGTCTGTAAATTTGATTTACTTTTTGTCGATTTTATAAACGATTCACCAAATTTCTAGGTGAGCTTTAGAAATATCTGGTAATGAGAAGGAAAAAAAGGACAATATCTATTATATTATTAATCTTTAATATTTTTAGGATACATTCCAGTTCAAAGTCTATTCTTCACATACATCTACCAAACAGCGTGTTTCAATAACTTTTTTAAAGAATGCAACAGAATCCTTTGGTGTTCGCGTTCTGTTAGGGCTATCAAAGTCCACTTGGTACAATCCAAATTTTTCTCTGAAAAAAAGTCGGTATTATGAAGCCTTCTATCTACTCTACTATCTTTTATCAGTAGACATATGTTTTTTCTGCCTTGAATAACACAATCCAAAAAAAAAGGCTAAATTAATTTAATCTAATTAATTTAATATAAACGTAGTAACTATTATTATATAAATGTAAATGAAAAATAACAATTACTTGAATCCTTGCATCCACTCGAAATTATCCATCAAACTCCAGGCAGTATATCCCAGTACATCAACACCGTCTTCAATAGCATTTCTTACATTACTTATATAGTTCTAAAATAAAATACATTCGTATTGTCAAATTCAAAGAAAATTAATAATTATTTTAACAGTAAATTTGAATTATTTTATTCGCGCATTTATTCAATTAATTCGTTGGCATTATTTCATATTAAAAATTTATGACTAAACAAAAAAGACAGTTCGACGACTAGGTGATTGCGAAATCACCGGACCGCCGACCGGGCGGTAAACTCAAATTGGGTCAGCCACGGCGGTACCTATGGTAATCCTGCAAACGCGGCGGTTTTGAAAAAAGCGGTGGCGCGCTCGTTGAACTGTCTTGGACAGTCGATTTTTGGAAGTGAAGTAGAAGACATCTCTCCCCCGAAATGAAAAGGGTTGGGCTAATAATGTAAGTAGTAGTTCTAGTTTATTGTAGGTAGTGTAGTTTCAATTGTTTGGCAAACCAATTCCAAAATTTAGTAATAAATGTTTTATTATAAACTCGTCTTTTAACTACCATCTACTACCCCCTAGCGTGCGTCTACGACCAAGTGGGCTGTAGGCGTAACAGTATTACAATTATTAATAGATCTGATGCGCTATAGCAAATTATAAATAAATATGGCCATGCCCATTAAACCAAAAAAATGAGTAGGTCAATATTACCTTGTAGTAATTGATTCTCCTGTCGTCGTTCAATTTTCCGTCGATGTCTGAAAAACCATTTTCCGTAATGAAAATAGGTGTATTATATGTTTTCTTTAACCAGTTTAATAGTCTCCTTATTCCCCATGGAGTAACCTATAAATACAAGACAACATAAAAACAAGACAAAAATTTGTATAAATGTACGAATATCCTAAAATTCGTTATGTAGGAACTGTGGCCGGATCAAATATGTTTTGTTTTATACATATCTTCAAGATATTGATACATAATTGTTATAGACCTAGTTTTATAACAATCCACTCTTCATGTCTTAAAAAAGAACGGTTGAGATTCGTGAGTTATTTATTTACTGTCAATATAAAATATTTCTAATTTGTACGATTTTGGTTCTGCAATAAAGAGTTGTATGTTTAACGCTGTGTAATTAATTTAATAAAGAAACATAAAACTCTAACAGGTTATGGGCTCAGGTCTTAGGCAGATTTAGCACTCCTGTGTGATATTTTGTGAGCCATTTCTCCAAACAAGCTTTACATTCCAAGAAGATTAATTTTCCCACGTGCATGCCATTCGTTTCATTATGTCAGTAAAATTAGACAGAGTTCAAGTAGAAAAATTGGAAGGCACCTGAAAATATGATATAGATCTACAGCTTACAGTAAATCAGGTGGCAGGTGTTGTTACAGGGAGTCAAGAAGGCCAGAACATGGTGAAACTGAAGACGACAGAAAGTTGATCAGAGAGTATGATGAAAAAGATGCCATTGCAAGATACATCATCGGATCAACAGTATCGCAGGAACCAAAACAGCATATACTTACCTGTAAGAATGCCAAGCAGATGTGGGCCCCTCCATTCTGTGTATGAATAGAGGAATGAAAGAAGGTTAGATCTTTTGTATACGGAATTGTTTACATACAAGAAAGATTCTAAGAATACTACACATATGTCAAAGTTGCAACATACATTCCTTCAGTTAAATGAGGAGTTAAAACATGAGTCCCATGAGCTGCTCATGTCTTTATTACTCAACAGGGTTTTAAATACTTTGCCAAAAGAGTATTTAGAATTTAAGAATGCATGGGAGTCTGTATCGATTAAGGAAAGCAGCTTTGGTGTACTTACAGAACTTTTAAGATTGCATGAGCAGCGTCTCGATGATGTTCACATTCAATGTCAAAAATTGACAATGTTGCTCTTATTGGGAAGGATAAAAGAATAAAATGTAACTACTGCAAAAAGCTTGGTCATATAAAGAAGAATTGTTTCAAGCTTAAACGGATGGAATCCAAGCCTGATAATCATGATGATGAACAAAAGCAGAATCAAGCTTTTGTGTGCAGTAATTTATCCTTCGGTAATGAAACATGGATAATAGATTCAGGTTCATCACACCATATGACCTCTCACAGAGCATGGTTTAATGAATATAGGAGCTTTGATAATCCCAGAAAAATTACAATTGGTGATGGCCACCAAATGTTAGCATATGCTGAAGGAAACATTAAAATACAGATGTTAGTATCTGGTCAGTGGAATGATGGTTATCTTAAGAGGGCATGGTATGTGCCAGATTGCTCTCAAAACATGTTTTCTTCAGGCGCAGCTTTAGAGAATGGTTTGACTGAATATGTAGATTCAAAGAAAATAATATTCAAGAACAAATATGGAAGAATTGTTGCTACAGGAAGAAAAGAAACAGGTGCATTGTTTTGGTTAAAAATGAGAGTTATAGTTCCAAAAAATGCATGCTTACTTACACAATCAGCTGAAAGTCTGCAGATTTGGCATGAAAGGCTTTGCGATCAACTTTATAGACATGTACACAAATTTTTAAAGAAAAGAGGCATTTCAGTGTCAGAAGTCTCAAATGAAAATTGTGATGGATGTACATACGGTAAAATGACTAGGAAGCCATTCTCATACAGAGAAGTCCGTGCTGAAAAAATTGGCGACACAGTGCATGTATATTTGTGCGGACCAATGACTGTTTCTTCAGTTGGAGGCAACCACCATGAAGGATGACTTCAGCAAGTATACAAAATTTTATTTCATGAAAAATAAAATGCAAGTACATGTTGTCATTCATGAATTTCTATCTAAAGAAAAAACTTGTCATCATGTTGTCAGAGAACTGTTATCAGATGGTGGGACTGAATTTGACTGAATACAGAGGCTAAGTAAGTTTTACGAAATTTTGGTGTAAATCACAGAGTGGTTATGCCTTATACACCTCAGTAAAACGGAGCCCCAGAGAGAAAACAGAATATTAATGGAGGCAGCCTGTAGTATGCTGTATGCAAAAAATATTAGCAAGGACTTATGGGCAGAAGCAGTAAATACTGCTTCATATGTACTGAACCATAGTAGCTCATCTGGTATTCAAGGAAAAACGCCTACGACCTGTGGTATGACAAGCCGCCAGAAATAAATCATCTAAAAATATTTGGTGCATAATGTTTTGTTTACATTCCACAACAAAAATGAAGTAAATTGGATAAAAGGGCAGTGAAAGGTATCCTAGTTGGATATTGTGGCGATAAAGATGGGTACAGAATTTGGACAGAACACATTAAGATAATACAGTCAAGAGATGTTAAGTTTTTACCAGAGGATACATTTGTAGACATTTTTCCTAATCAGGAAAACCTAAATCCCCCTGGTGTAATAGTGACCGATGTTCCTGGCAGTTAATCAAGTTCCAGTCAGATGTCAGATGGTTTGTTAGAGCTGTAGGCGACGCGACGCAAAGCAGACAGTCAGTTGTGCGCGTCGGACTTACGTTGGAATCAAGAACACAAGAAAATGGGTAGCTGGTTTGTTAGAGTCTGCTTAGGTGGACTCACGGTAGGCAGAAAATTATGTGCGTCGTCGGTTCAGTCGAAATCAAATTCGATTTCAACGCAGCCGTTCAGTTGAGCTGACAGCGTACAGTGCTAAAAAGGTATTTATTTTTAACGAATTTTAAAATGGCAGCCAAGTTTTAACCAGAGAAAGACGATAAATTAATCGATCTGGTACGAAAACTGCCCCCATTATATACCGTCCCTTCCAAACGTCTGTTCATTCGATCTTCACTTTTATTTTGACGACGATAAGTAATCAAATTTAAAAGATCTTTTTCATGTTCTTTTTCAATAAGTATTGTCAGCAAAAAATATTCAACCATTGTCATGAAAAAAAAATTTCTTGCCAAAAGCTTTGGTTTGTTAGAACTGCGTCGCAGACGACATACGCGGTTATCAAAATCTGTAGCGTTCAACTTTATCGGTTTTGAAGGAGGGTATTTTGTTAGATTTAGTGCTTGTGATTGTATGCTGATAAGTGCAGACGAAAATATTTATAATTATTTTGTCAAAATTTTTTTTTTTTTTCATGACAATGGTTGAATATTTTTTGCTGACAATACTTATTGAAAAAGAACATGAAAAAGATCTTTTAAATTTAATTAGTTGTCATCGTCAAAATAAAAGTGAAGATCGAATGTTTTCTAACAGACGTTTGGAAGGGATGGTATACAATCTCGTACGAGATCGATTAATTTCTCGTCTTCCTTTGGTGAAAACTTGGTTGCCATTTGAAAATTCGTTAAAAATAAATGCTTTTTTAGAACTGTACGCTGTGAGCTCAACTGAACGACTGCGTTGAAATCAAATTGAATTTGATTTCGACTGAACCGACGACGCACATAATTTTCTGCCTACCGTGAGTCCACCTAAGCAGACTCTAACAAACCAGGCACGCATCTTCTTGTGTTCTAGATTCCAACGTAAGTCCGACGAGCACAACTGACTGTCTGCTTTGCGTCGCCTACAGCTCTAACAAACCATAGTTTTAGTGTGCCTATAGCAGACGAGTATACAGATACGAGAACTGAAACTTTGTTTGTTGATCCCCAAGATATACCTTCCAATGAGAATGGAAGTATATCATAATATAATCCTTTGGAGGACATTGAAAAGGATAGTGCAAATCAATGTAAGCGATATCCCGTGCGCGATATAAAGTAAAAAGTGTATAATGACTACTACACGTATATTTGTAATGACGATAGTGAGTGTGTTGACATCAAGAATTTACCCGAATGCTGGAAGAATGCGGTGAACGATGAACTGTTATCTTTGAAAAGGAAATATAAAACTAGACTTGTATCATAAAACATATTCAGCTGTTGTTAAAAATATCACTATTAGAATATTGTTTTCATTAGCCAATCAATTGGATTTGTATATGTACCATTGGAATGTTGTATCTGCATTTCTTTATGGTTCTCTTAATGAAAATGTATTTTTGTATCAACCTGAAGGCAGTGTGGTGCTTGTTTAAGAAACCCTAGACATAGTCTTAATTTTTTTACTTTTGTGTATATGACAAGAAGTGTGGATTATGGGAGGGTGTTATAGACCTAGTTTTATAACTATAATCCATTCTTCATGTCTTAAAAAAAAACAGTTGAGATTTGAGAGTTGTTTAGTATAAAATATTTGTAATTTGTACGATTTTGGTTCTGCAATAAATGGTTGTATGTTTAACGCTGTGCAATTAATTTAAAGAAGAAACATAAAACTCTAACAATAATACTTAATTGAAAAATCCTCATACATTTTGGATGAAATATGAAGGAGCACCATAATGGCAAATTTTTCACTTGTTTCAGCAAAATATTTCGAATAAAATTCACCGTTGAAATTATGTTCATTCATTAGTAGAAAAAATTTTGTTTGAAAATTAAGATCGTATTTATTTTAGTCTCCAATAGTATGATTAAAAAGGGATCGAGCTATGGAATCTGCTTCCAATAAATCTTATAGGGGTTGGAGATTATAAAGCTTATAATCTAATTAATGGTATTTTTCTAAACTTTAGCTATTTGACACAACATTTATAAGCTTAATGTCGGTTCGTGTTCGACTTCTTGTAGGATAACTTCCTCAACATTTAGCACTCTCAATGCACGTTACCATCCAGAATTAATTTTTTTAAGTTTGAGTTGCTCAGTTTCTCGAAGTCTGTTCTCATATTAGCAAAACCTTTGTTTTCGCCAAAAATTACCCTTTCAAAATTCTTAAATTAGTATCGTACCTACATGTTTGGAAAAGGGGTATTAAAGCATTTTTAATCTTTTGGTGAATAAATGTTACTGCTGTTATCAATATTGTTAACTATTTATGTATAGATATTTTTTATAACCGACAGCAAAAGCATATTTAGGTAAAAATACATTCACTCCTTAAGGAGAAAAAGAGTTTATATAAACATGTTTAAAATCTATATAATTTTTTTTAAATAATAAATAGAATATTTCTATTTACTCGGAATTTAGCAATTTTAAGAGAAATTGACGCGACATTTTTCCTTCAAAATCGACAGGTAATTTAAAAATTGTTTTCCTTATGAAATTCTAAGACGGGGAAATATATATAGAAAATGGGGGGGGTCAAGATTATTTTTACTGCTTCCCGTACCCTTATAATTGTACCAAATTACTTTGTTTCTTCATGACCATTTCAAAAGTAAGGCTTTAAGATCCTTTAATCTTTTTCTCAGGGATATTACTGTATGACCACCATTTTCTCGGACATTCTATACATCTCAAGGTCATCCAGAGATATAAACCAAAAACCTATTTTAGAATCTAGTATATTAATTGATTAAATAATAATTATTATTTAAGTAAATATTTTTCAAATTTTCATGTATAAAATCGTACCCTGTGTAAATAATTATCAGTGTTCTATTTTTAATAACATTTTGGGAATCATCACCGGTGTAAAGGCAGCGACCACAATTAGCTAGCTAATTTTCCGAACCTAGCCGCGAAGTCAAAGAAATAAGAGTACTATGGAATAGCTAAAATATATTAGTCTATAGTATCTAATGCAATTTCTAATTTCTGTAAAATTTATATATAAAATCATGATTATTAAATAAATATTAAATTGTTTTTGTTTACAACAGCAGTTAATTCACAAAAAAATATGGGACTGTTTTCAAAAATTTAATATATAAGATATCTGACTAATACCAGTTCACTGACAAAACTTTTAAGGGTGATTAAGAACAATCTTACAAATAGGCGAACGGTGCACCACTAAAAAGACTCACAAAAAAAACGAGTGGACCGACTACGGAAGGGGTCCAGGATGAGACCTTTTCTAATCGCTATATTACGTTATTGCGAACAAAAAACCTTAACATTTTTCTGTATCGATGACCAGTAATTTGTTATTAACAAGAAACTTGCAAAATTGCAAAAACTTAAAAAATCGATATGAAAACACATTGGTTATGTATTTTGGGAAAAAATAAGCACATTTTAACTCTTGTGATTTTTTCGAAAAAAGCTTTGTTTTCGAGATAGGAGCGATTTAAGGTTGAAAAATAACCAAAAATCGACATTTTCAATTTATGTTTTCTCCGATTGTACTGGTGCTTTTTAAATTTTTCTTGTTCGAGGTTACTCCCCGAAAGTTATATTTTCATGTTATATACTTTTCATCCCGGCGACTTTTTTCTCCTCATAAGATACGCGACCGAAAACTCGTGAAATTCACCGTTTCACTGAATCAATAGTTTACGAATCGATATATTCATTGCCGGCTGTTCGCAGGCTCGCTCGCTCATGGCTCAGCGCGTGGTGAAACGGTGAATTTCACGAGTTTTCAGTAGTGTATCTTATGGGGGAAAAAAGTCGCCGGGATGAAAAATATATAACATGAAAATATAACTTTCGGTGAGTAACTTCGAACAAGAAAAATTTAAAAAGCACCAATACAATCCGAGAAAACATAAATTGAAATTGGCGACTTTTGGTTATTTTTCGACCTTAAATCGCTCGTAGCTCGAAAAAAGCTTTGTTTTCGAGCTGCGAGCGATTTTTTAAGTTTTCGCAAGTTTTCTGCAAGTTTTTTGTTAATAACAAATTACTGACATTACAGAAAAATGTCATTAAGGTTTTTTGTTTACAACAACGTAATATAGCCATTAGAAAAGGTTTCATCCTGGCCCCCCTCCGTGGTCTGTTCACTCGTTTTTTTGTGCGTCGTTTTAGGGGTGCATCGCTCGCCTAAAAAGAACCTTTGACTATTTTGACTTTGACAAAGATATCAAACTTAATATGAATTAGCCAGCTCTAATATTTCGATTCAGTCATACGACTTCCTTCAAATTTCACAGTAACCTTAAAGATGATATAATACTAACCCTCTGAAAGACATCGATGCCCTTAGTATTAATCTTTCTCAAATAGTTCCGTTAACGAACCAGACGTCGCAGAAATTACTAATTTACTTGTTTGTCTGCGAAATTTGTTAGCGAACTGAAAATCTAAAAATCGAGAGTGAAATAAATATCATACTTTTTACGTAAATTAATTGCTGCTGTAGAAGAACAAGTTTAGTAATCAATCATTAATCATGATTTAATTGTTATTTATTTATATACCTATTTATAAATTTTTAATCGCATTTTATTGATTTTTAGAAACACCACTGACTGATAAAATTTAGCAATTCCTTACTGTTCTCACTTCACTATGGCTGCTATTTTCCTACCGGTAAAATCCACCCTGCATTAATAGGGACTTACGTTAAGCCACGATGATGCACCCGTTTCCCAGTCATCTGACTGGTAGATACTGATCCCAATGTCATTGTCGTAACTTGGGTCTCCTATTTCCGGTTCTGCAGCTTCTTTAACCATGTACGAAGAATACATATTGAGACCTAGATAGTCATGCGTGCCCAATATGTAGGTTATCTCTTCATCGGTGAATTCCGGAAGACGGGATTGGTTTAAACCCTCAGCTGCACTTCGTGCTGCCACACGAGTTTTCATCACTTCAGGGTAGTCGCCGTTGAAGATAGGATTGGCAAACCATCCAAACTAAAATGAAACTTTGTCATATATATTTGTCATATTTTTATTCGTCTGTCTTTCCTGATTACCATGATATGTACATACAGGGTGTTTCTAAAATAGGGTTCCAAACTTCTGCTGCGTTTATAACTCATTAAAATAAACAAAAAAGTTCATATTAACATGTGCCCTAAAACGCACCTTTAGGAAGTTATATGCCCTTAAAAGGGCTCAAACAAAACTGTTTTTTTTCTGTTATTGACAAAACGGTCGCAAATAAATAGAAAAAAATGTATGGGACTTACATAACTTTTTACGTTAAATAAAACATGGGCTACTCCGTTTTTCGACATGCAAATCATATGCGTCCCATTTAGGTTGGTGAAGGGGGTTTTCGGCCCGTAATTTTTTTTATTTCAATTTTTTTACAATTTTCTCTACAGATTTATAAGAACTTAACAATTTTACGTAAAAAATTTTATCTTTGTCCAAATCGATATTTCCAATGGTTTTCGAGTAAATTGAGTTTGAAAATTTTAATCCCATTATTTTCTATTTCACATTTAGCTATTGTCCGCAGTAGTAATTAGTTCTTTAATTAGTAAATGTAACTCTAAATTTAAATAGTCTTAGTTTATGTCCTAAATTATTTATTAAATGATCGGATCCTTCATAACTGCAATTTATTTGAAAAAAAGCCAGTTTTGTTTGAGCCCTTTTAAGGGCATATAACTTCCTAATGGTGCGTTTTAGGGCACATGTTAATAGGAACTTTTTGGCTTATTTTAATGAGTTATAAACGCAGCATTTTAGAAAATATTTTAGAAACACCCTGTACATATCGTATATTTGCTCTAAAAGCCAATTGTTTTGCTTTAATTACTCATTAGTTAGAGAAGAGTAATTTTAAAAACTCTGAATCTATTACGTTTGGTTATCTATCATTCAAATAAGCACGAATATAAAACTATTTTTTGTTTGTCTTCTGTTGCTAATACAATACTGCTAATATTGTCCTAACATGAACTAATTGATATGTAAATATACCTACTTAGAGCATCCTCCATATTAACTTCCGTTTTATAATTTTCTGCTTAATTAATTTGTTCGTAATTGGTAACTTGCAGTGTCTCGATTAGATATACAAAGAGTCTAGTTACTAAATCTCTTGGGGGTTCAACTTAGACGAGATTATCTTAATTGATTGTTTCGTGGAATACTCAGAACTGTCTAAGTAATAATGACTTGAAATCGAGTAAGAAATATCCACATTGAGAGAGCCATACTTACAGTAAATTGTATTTGTCTCTCTGCAGCTTCCTGATCGCCTTCACTATCTGAATCCGGTTCAAACCAGGGTGTATCAATAGTAATAGATACCTTTCCTGCAAGAAAACATTTCATAAATAGCTCTATAACAAGGGTCGGCAACTAGCGGACCGCGGTCCAGATCCGGACCACGGAAGGTAAAATACTGGACCGCCAAAAATTTTTTGAAAATATAAATTACTCAAATAAATTATTTAAAAAATATTTTAAAAAAATATTTTTTTACGTTTGACTGCCACCCTATAATTTTTTCTAGTATTTTACAATTGTGACTAATTTGAGTTCTTAATGCAAATGAAAATATAAAATTAGTAAGATATATGAATTTTTTTCTGGACCTCGTTAAAAATTTTCAAAAGTATCCGGACCCCACCTAAAATTACTTGCCGACCCCTGCTCTATAACAACTATTATATATTTTCAAGAAACATGTATTATCATGTAACATTAGTTCTAGTATCTTTTACTCTATTTTATAGATATTAGGCTAATTCAAATCCAAACAATTTTTTTAAAAAACTTATCAAATAACACATTCAAGACTGCTAACTGCTGATATTGTGGGCTACATGCCGCATTGAATGATACAACGGCAGCATTTAGTACCTCTTCCTAATAGTTGTTGTTTACGTAATTACATCTTGTCAAAGGTGATGATTGAATAGCAAGAACACAATGACATGGTATTTCTCTGAAAGAAGTGCTTTTGTTAAGATATACCTATTTAAATATATAATATTTGGTTTTTATTTTGATAAAATTCAATGCTAGTTGGGGTCTGTAACCCATATAGTTTGTGGTCTTGTCTGTGGTGCCTGATGTTTTTGCATACCTATTTTTCCAGTATTGAGGAATATTGTTTGACTTTATTTGATAGGATTTTTTAGACAAAAAAAAATTGAGTTTATTTGAAAAAAAAAATTAAATCACCTTTGAAGATTCTTAATTTGTATATGTTATGGGTATAAATATAATTTCTAATATATCCGATTGCAGTTCTTTCCTCAATCTCCACAGAATATTTAATTTAAGCGCAACGTTCCGTAATTATGGAATTAGTTTTTAAATGGAAAGTTAAAGCGAAAACGTTTTTTTTTAGTTTAAGATTTACACCACCTTCTTTTACGATATTAAACTATTTAAATACGGACTAGCAGAACTACTAAAAGAATAAACAGAGTGAGAAGCACAATTGACTATACATATATAGGGTGTTTTTAAATTAAGTAGCAAAAATGGTACCAGTGAATGTAGAGCCAAAAATAAGAGGATTGAAGTAAAAATACTTTATATAAAAGTTGCACCCTGAGGCGATATAACCTCTTAAAGGAGGGGATTGAAATTCACATCTTAATTTTTTTTCATTAACATGAGGAATGAGACACGAAACTTGGTATGAGCTTCCTACTAATAAAGAGACAACTTTTCAATATTCGTTCGATCATTGGCGTATTTTATAAAGGAGTGAAACAGTCAACCCCATTGCAATATTTTATTAGAAATTTTTTATATGAAGCAAATTATTTATTTAAAAATATTTATTGGGCAGCCTGATTTATTGCGCAACTTTTTTACCTCTTGTAATTTTTCGATAAAACCTATAGTTTTCTAATAAAAAAATTACATGCGTCATCGTTCACTAAAGGGCTAATTGCAAAAATTTGTAAAAATAAAGAAGGCGGATGTCATAACAAATAAATTGTTATTTATCATATTAATAAATTGACACTTTCTGTCAATCAACAATTAGTACCAATTGATTAATTTATTATCAGAATAATTATAGCAAATAATATTTATACCAGTGACGAATATGTCGACATGCTTCAAGTGTTTTTCGAATCCAGAAAAAATAGTAACGCCGCTGCAGTAAGATTATACCACCAAAGATATCCAAACCGACCGGCTCCTCATAGACAAACATTGGCCTCGGTGGAAAGAAGGCTTCGCGAAACTGGTGAAATTCAGCCCAATCGTGAGGGTGCCGGAAGAAGGCGTAATGTCCGAACTGTTGAAACTGAGGAAGCTATACTGGAACATCTAGAACAAGACTGTGGTACAAGCACAAGACAGGTGTCCAGGCAACTGCAAGTTTCTCACAATCTTGTGTGGAATGTAACTCATGAAAATCTTTTAATCATTTTCACCATCAGCCCGTGCAAGAATTGAATGACCTTGATTTACCTAACCGCGTGGATTTTTGTCAATGGTACATTAATATTTCCAGGCTTGACTTAAATTTCCTAATGAATATACTTTTCACCGATGAAACAAATTTTCCTAGAGTAGGTGCCGTAAACCTTCATAATGTTCATTCATGGTCGGCAGAAAATACTCATGAAATATTTGTTGCAAGATGTACTCTAGTAGGTCCCTTTATTCTTCCACACAGGCTTGGAGCGGCCGAGTATCTTAGATTTTTTAACGAAAATCTTCCAACATTACTTGAGGATGTACCCCTCGATACACGTCAGGTGATGTGGTATATGCACGATGGGGCGCCTGCACATAGTACACTCGCCGTTAGAGAATGGTCAAATTTAAATTACCCGAATCGCTGGATTGGTCGTGGTCGTGATGCCCCTGTTTGTTGGCCTACACGTTCATCTGACCTAACGCCTATGAATTTCTTTTTGTGGGGACACATAAAAGGTATTATTTATGCCACTCCTGTTGCCTCCTTAGAAGAACTACGCTTAAGAATATTTCAGGCAGCAGATGGCCTTCGCAATAACCAAGAACTGTTTGTGCGAGTGCGTTATAACTTCAATAGACGTATTAGGTATACTTGCAGCAAAATGGAAATTATTTCGAGAATATTCTTTAAATTTAATTTTACATTTCTTGTTTTTCGTTTGTATTAAATTTTATTTCAGATAAATAACTTTACCTAATACCTGTCCCATAGTCATAAGTTATCAAATATTTTTCATTAATTAATAGCAAATTATTCTTAATGTTATTATTAAATTACCAGCTTATTGACAGAAAGTGTCAATTTATTAATATGACATTCGCCTACTTAATTTTTACTAATTTTTGCAATTACCCCATTTACGCATCTAATTTTTTTACTAGAAAACTATAGGTTTTATCGAAAAATTACAAGAGGTAAAAAAGTTGTGCAAATTAGTCTTCTCAATAAATATTTTTAAATAAATAATTTGCTTCATATAAAAAATTTCTAATAAAATATTGCAATGGGGTTGACTGTTTCACTCCTTTATAAAATATGCCAATGAGCGAAAAAAAATATTGAAAAGTTGTCTCTTTATCAGTAAGATGCTTATACCAAGTTTCGTATCTCTAGAATTCTCCATGTTACAGAAAAAAATTAAAATGTGAATTTCAATGCACTCCTTTAAGAGGGTATATCGCCTCAGGGGGGCAACTTTCATATAAAGTATTTTTACTTCAATCCTCTTATTTTTGGCTCCACATTCACTATACCATTTTTGCTACTTCAATTAAAAACAGCCTGTATGTATGTTCAGTGGCCTTTAATTAGTCCAACTTTTATCAATCGGTCAAAGATATTTAAAGATATTTAAAGATATTTGAATAAATGTGAATTTTTTAAAAAATAATTTAAAAAATAAATTCTTGATATGATGTGGAAATTAGAAAACATAATATACAGGTAAGACTAGACATAATTTTGAAATGTGCCGATATCTTAAGACAATGTAAAACCTTTACTTGTACAAACTTTAGAGGGTTAATCTTAATTTTAAGATAAAAAGTTTATATGAACACTGGTCCGCAACGGCTTGGTTCTTGAGACACAGGGTGTTCAAAACAAATTTTGTTTGGTATTTTGATTTTTTTTTGTAATTACGAATTTTTATTTTTTTCTAATTTTCACTAATTTGGTGACAGTAATTTGTAAAGTTTAACATATCACATGATTTTCAATTGTTTTTCAAAAAGTTAATGATTCAACTTATAAAATTCCAATGCAGGTTTAACCCGTTTTTTTACAACGCATTCAGCGACAAATACTAAGAGTACCTTTTGTACCTAAAATCGGATGAAGAATAATATGTTTAGTCAAAAATGACAGTGCAAAAAAGTTATGGTTATTTAACTCCAGGTACAACACTATATATGGCGCCCTCTAACATTAAACAAAATACTAAGTAACTATTTGAGTTTCAGATCATCAATACTCCCAGTTTCCCGAATTTCGTCAAACTGCCATGTTATTGAACAAAAATTTAATCAAAATACCAAACAAAAAATTATTTGTACGCTCTGTGTCTCAAGAACCAAGCCGTTGCGGATACATGTTCGTATGAACTTATTATCTTAAAATTAGTCAAAGATTCATCTTTTAAAGTTTGTATATGTACTTAATAAAAACCCTGTATAATCATAAGTGTTTGTGAAGGTGACTTTAATACAATACACTACACATTTTATCAAGAATGTAATTTATGCTTGCAAGAATAATGATTTAATTTTATTTACACGAAGAAACGATTGCCTCGTCGTTTCACCTTTAATTACCTTTCACTGCAATAACAAGTCTTACCATTTTGCTGGGCTCTAAATTCTTGATCATAGATATGCCAAGCCTTAGCGTGTGCTCTGAGCAAGTTGTGGGTACACTTATAGCCTCCTACACCGGGAGAATAGATTTTCGGTGCTATGGAACCATAATCATATCCATACAAACAAGTTTGCTTAGGTTCGTTGAACGTCAGCCAATATTTCACATCCTCTCCAAAAAGTTCGAAGCAGACTTTTGCATAATCTGCAAATGCATCAATTATAAATTCGTCGGTCCACCCTCCTTGCTCTTGGAGAACCTGAGGTAAGTCCCAGTGGTACAAGGTTATCAGGGGTTCTATATTGTTGCTTTTTAGTTCTTTAATCAGGTTTTTGTAGTAAGTCACTCCTGCCAAGTTTATTTTATCGGCGGTGCCTAAAAATTAGTTTATTATTAAAATAAAGTTAAATAAACTTATTCGTAATACACGTATCTTCCTCTAAATATATTTAATACTGGATTATAATTGTTGAAAAATCACATTAGATATTTTTGTATAAGAATTTTGCAAGAAAAAGTGTAGATTGTTCGTGTAAATGTGAAAATGTAATACATATTTTGTTGAGATTAATTGAAAAAAAATTAAGCGAAAAAAGCAAAAAATAATGAAATTATTAAAATAATTGATAACATATATAACTAGTATCTATATTTTCAAAACTGCTCTTTGGATTTACTTCAAATTTTCAGAATTAGTATACTTTGTATAAGTAAAAAAGTATTGAAAACTAAAATTTACTAAACGAGCCGAACATTTTCCAAAAAACTAATTACCTCATTTCATATCAATAACATGCCTTAGACACACTTAATATTCTTATAATTATGTGAGAAAATGTTTAAAAAATGTTAGTTAATTAAGACCTGTTAATTTCAAATCGACATTTCTAAGAGGGACATCAAATTTTACTGCATTTGTTGTTCGATTTCTAAATCTTGGATGTATTGTAAAATTATTCTGAATTTTGGAATCATGCTTGATATTATAACGTTAGTGTTCTTGATCAATTCTAAAACTGAACATCTTGAAAAAAAAGTTTCAAGATTTAGATTGAATATAAAAAGAAAGTGATTGTTATTACTGATTTAATGACTGTTAAATTTTTATCTTTATTGATTGTTATGCTTATTTCATTTATTTCAATAGGTGTACGTGAATCTACTTACCATTTGGAAGAACTCTCGACCAAGAAATTGAAAATCTGTAGTGGTCAACACCTAACTCTTTCAACATGGCTACATCTTCTTTATACTTGTGGTAAGAATCACATGATATGTCGGCAGTACTTCCATCAGCTATTGGGTTGGGGTTTGAATGGGTGAGGTAATCCCAAATATTTTCTCCTTTCCCATCTTCGTTCCATCCACCTATGTAAGTAAATAAACCAAATAAGTAATAGCGAGAATTTGTAACGACACTCAAATGTATCTAACGATGTTTCACTACAATAAATGTTGAGATGGTCAATGTTTTGAAAGTAATGACAGTAATGTGTCTGCGGGTGGAGTTGAAAAGAGAGAAAATTGTATTATTTTTCATAATTCAATTATACAGTACTTTTTAGTAAAGTAGCACATCATTGATCAATCCTTTTCCAGTATTTGACATGTTAACAATTAACAACAAAAAATTGTAAAGTTAAAATTTTGGGAAACGAAGATAAAAAAGTAATTTACAGTATATTTTTCATATAGGGAATCAAAACATTCTATTGAGAAAAGTTATTTGCATTATTTTATGCCCATACACTAAATTTGTAAATAAAAAGGTATATTTTGGTAATTTTTGTTTTGATAAATCTCTGAATTGCAGAATGAAAATCAATTGCTTACAGATCTAGGATATTTTTATGAAATTTCTTGTTATATGAAAAAGGTACAGCACCAGAACACGAATATTTTCTTAATGTTAATGCGAATGGTGCCCCAAACATTAAACAAATTTCTGGTATTTTTAAGAAATTAATTCTTTTTCCATGATTTAGTAAATATTAACTAATATTATGTGAATTGTCATACCTTTTAAATTAATAATATATTTGTAATTTTATAAAATGTCTATAATAAAAATAAATAAAAATAATTAATAACCTTATGGATTTGGTTACCTTTTGAAATAAGTTTTTAATAAAAAGTGTTAGTTATTTTTTAAAGTATTGTGTAGTTTGTGAATCTCCACGACCACTTTACATATTCTAACGAAGTAAATAATTTCACGTAGCTTCGGTATGAACATAGAAGTAGACAGAAGCGCATTTGGGAGAGTTAAAACAGGTAGGTACTATTAAAATGTTATAAAATTTTTAACAAAATAGGGTATGTTTTACAGCCAAATAGGTGCTATATATCTTAAGTAATCCAGGAGATCATAAAACAGGAACAAAATTAAGCCGCGAAAGATATGTACGAAATAAAAATCATTATACGATATGAAGTTCGGTTCTGTGTGAAAGTAACGAGCGTTCAAATAAAAACGTGGTCAAGTTGGTTCTGAAAATTTGGACTTAGGGCGTAGCGTATAGCAAATGAACTTAAACGTCATCTGTCAAAGCGCTATATCGCCGCTATCAATTTGAATATTTTCGTTTTAAAAAGCGTTTAAAATGGTGTTTTCTCAAGAACAAAAAGTGTTTATCATAGAGTCCTACTTTAGAAATGGACGCAAGATTGATGGAATATGGAAGTATTCTATTGAGGAATGTTTCATAGAATTTCAAAATCAATTTCCCGGCGTTGTTGAGTACAAAATTTTTCAAAGTGCAGTTCAGCGTTGTGTTAATGTTTTTCGTGAAACGGGCAGTGTAACAAGAAAAGAAGGAAGCGGCCGACCTAAAAAGCGGACTGAAGAATTAAAAGAAAATGTCCAACAAATAATGGAAAATGCGCCAAGAACTTCTGTACGTGTTTTATCACAAATGGTGGGAGTATCAGTCGGTACCTGCCACACAGTGTTAAAAAAAGATTTGCGTTTGTTCTCCTATCGTTTAACTTGTCAGCAAGAACTTCATGAAGTTGATTTTCCGCGACGGGCTGTATTTTGTGAATGGTTTTTAAACAACTACGGTGAACTTCATAATATCACCTTTTTTTCTGATGAAGCCTGGTTTCATTTAAGTGGTTACGTAAACTCACAGAATATGAGAATGTGGTCTTCTGAAAAACCAGATAACTTTATTGTCGAGGGCCCTCTACAAGCTCAAAAAAATTGGAGTTTGGTGTGCTCTCAATCGAAGGAGGATTTATGGACCTATTTTTTAATGGTACTCTTACTGCGCAGAGGTATAGAGAAGAAATTATCGCTCCTTTTGTTAACCAGCTGGAAGAAAACGAAATTACAACTTTTACTTTCAACAAGATGGCGCAAGGGCACATACGGCAGGTGAGACGATGAATACGTTGAGGGATGTTTTCCAAAATCGAATAATAAGTCTCAATGCTGAACATGAATTTCCACCGAGGTCATGTGATATTACGCCGTGTGATTTCTTTTTGTGGCCTTACCTTAAAAACACTATTTTTGAACTGCCTATTCCTGATTTAAACCATCTGCAGGCTCGACTTATAGACAAGATTCGTGAAATTAACAATACCCCGAGCATCTTAGAAAATGTCTTTAATTCTTTGAGGAACAGGTGTGAAAAGTGCTTGGAACAAGGAGGGGGACACTTTCAGCAGCTGCTTTAATTTATTGTTATAACAAGGAGGGGGACACTTTCCGCAGCTCCTTTAATTGTTTGTTATTGTTATCACGATTATTCTTTAAAATAAAGTTATATAGTCATTAACGTTATTGAAACTGACAGCTGCTATACAGCTCGTTGAGAAATGAGGTTAAGTTGGTCGCTATAAGCTACTCCCTACGTCCAATGTGTCAGAGCCAACTTCGACCACGTTTTTATTTGAACGCTCGTTATATCTTTGGTGAGGATTAGCGTTCAATCTGTTTCGGCCAATAATTGAAGTTTCGTAGTCATACGTGGTTGATCATTGTTTACACGATTCGAATATACAACTTGACTTTGCATCTATATGATTTGTAAGCAGGGTAGTAGATGGGCAAAACACAAACGACCAAGCTTACAGCTTATCGGTTTATAAAAATAGGGTATTGAATAAAGGAATTTAAAACTATGACGTTCAAGATATTTTATTACATGAATCGTTCAAATGGTCATTTGAGATGAATAAACCACGGAGTGCTATTAAATTAGAGGGTGGAAATTGGAGTTAGGGGTGAAAATTCACATCTTTCAGTTTTTTAATTGTAGCTCGAAAACGAAGCAAAATTTCCCTATAGCTCATGGGAAAAATTATTTAGAGAATTGAATTTCCCATGGAAATAGCTTATTTAAAAAATTTAAAAGGAAAATTTTATGTAAAAAAATCGTTAATAAACAATTTGAAAAAAAATGCAAAAAATTAGATTTTCTGTTTTTTTTAATTTTTTGCCTCAATTTTTTTTTTGAGTAAAGATAGGTATAAGCATTGCATCAGAAAAAAAGTAGTTAAAATTTCCTTCCAAATAAGAGGTTGTAAAGTATTTTTGGATGACAATTGACTGATATATGGCCGCTCAAACTTAGCCAATTTTTCGATTTTCGTCGCGTTTAACCTTAGGAAGGAAATAAGACGTTCGAGGATTTTCATCACATGACTTGTTCGAAGGGTAATTAAAAATTAAAAAAAAACGCGGGATGCTATTAAATTAGAGGGCTGAAATTGAAGATAGGGGCGAAAAAGCACTTTTGCAGTTTTTTAAATATAGCACGAAAACGTAGCAAAATTTCGGTATAGTTCATAGGAAAAATTTTGTAGAGAATTGAATTTCTCATCCAAATGGCTTATTTAAAAAATGTAAAAGAAAAAATTGTATGAAAAAAATCGTTAATGAACAATTTTAAACAAAATACTCAAGAGAGAAGTACCATTATTTATTATTTTACACATTTTTATAAAACAAATATGTTTATAACCTCAAATAATGTCCTAATACAAATTTTAAAATCAAAATTTCAATTTTTGAGGTGTGAAGTAGCTATACATATAGAGTAAAAGTTAGAATTGAAATTTTTATTTTAAAATTTGTATTAGAACATTATTTGAGGTTATAAACAGATTTGTTTTATAAAAATGTTGTGTAAAATAATAACTAATGGCACTTCTCTCTTGAGTATTTTTGTGTTTTTTTAATTTATGAGCACCATGTATATTTAATCTAAGATGTTTGTATGACAATCTCATTTTTTCGAGGGGCATTTAGAAGCATCTTTTTAGGGGTGAACCACTCGCCTATTACTGAGTGAACTATGTTATACTGAAATTAAAATCGTATTTGTATAGCGCGTATTGTGTTTTGTTAAGTTTGATTAAGTTGCGATTGTTTGAGATTATATACAGCCTGTCTAACGGGGGGGTATGATTAGAACAAAAAACGGTAAAGAATATTAGTTTTTATAACAGAATTTGAATAAACAAACATATGATAATTGTTGAATATAGATAAATATGGGTCCCATTCAAAGTAATCCTATTTATTGTCTATAATTATTTATTTGTTAAATTATTTGGCGCTTTTTATTCAAATAAAATAAAATATTTAAAAAATTGGCCAAAGTGATCAATCAAAGATTTTTTTACACCTGAACTAAGTGATACAGAACCAGAAATATCCACAACGTTTTCAGTGACATCATTTGTTTTCTCAGTGTATTGCAAAAGTATGTTTACAAAAAATATTCCATGGATCTGATTCTTTTGATGCACGGTTTGAAGAATTTTCTAATTATATTAAGTGTCCTTGACTATACATGTACTCTTTGTATGCAGAAATGGTCATTAAACTAATTGGTAACTGGTAATTTCAAATTTTCTTACTTTTGTGTAAATAAAAAAAATTAACAAAGAACTATTATTTTATATTTTATTATAATTACGTGCTGATTACTTGAAATTTATTCTTAAACAATAATCTAGTTTGTTTTAAGATAACTAAACTAGATTACGGTGAATTTAAACAATTATTATGTATGTTTTGAATTAGTCAAGAATTTTTATTTTTTTCAGAAAATTTGAATACATATAAAAAATGAATTTGTGCACCATGCAACACCAGATTTATCCTATATTTATTATAAGTTTGAGAAAAATCACCTTCAACTTGGTATGCAGCTGTAGCTGTTCCAAACATAAAATTTTCTGGAAACTTTTTATTGCTTATTTCATCTTGCGCTAATCTGTAAATATTCCAGTAACTTTAATGTTAATAATTGTTATAGTTTAATTTTCAAAATAATAATAACAATAGTAATATATTTGTAAATAAAAATTTCTAAATTGAAATATTTGGACTTACGTTATAGCTAATGTAGATAAAAATATAACACTTGCTTTGTAGATCATTATTGTTGCAGATAAATGTGCTTCAGTTCACTGATTTATGTTCAGAAATGCCTATAAATAAGTAGCTAGTAGTAGTAAAAGGAAATTCATAAGTGTTTTTAATACTTAAGTTGCTTGCTTCAATCTTTATGATTGGATAACAATGTTTATCAAATAAATAACTAAAAACTTAAATTTTAAGTAGCAGATTTAAAAACATACTACTTACTTCATTTTCTCATAACGCAAAAACAATAGAACCTCGTAGTACCTACCAAGGAAATAAAGTAATCTCTTAAAGTTTTGTGAGATGGATTAAAGACGTTTTACTTCTCCATTTTTTGTACTTGGTCTTATATGACCAAAATTAATTATTACACTTATCTGTTGTATATTCTGTCCACAGATGGAGTTGAAGAAAGGGAAAACTTTCTAATTTATATTTAAAGAATTGTTAAAAAATCTACTTTTGTTCAAGTGAAGAAAAAAATTTTTTTTGATGATTTAAATGTTCTCTGTATGTTCTTATTTCTGAATAACTAGAAAGGCCTAGCTAGAAGTAAACAAATTATTTTCTGTATAGGTAATATCCCTTTTGCATAAAATGAGATATCAAATAATTTATTTGAAAAAAGTAATTCACAATTGAAATTTATTCCGATTGTCCGCAAATTTGGCACGCTATTTTTTTACTCAAAAAGGGTCTTTACATTGAAAAATTCAATGTCGGCCCATTGATTACATTATTAAAATAAATTTTAATTCTGAGCAATTTTTCCTAATGAAATCTTTTGATATACTATAAAGGCAGTTAGCCTAGACAGATAATACATTTTTTCCCAGTGAGGCCTACTTAATTATTCATTATTATTCCTTAAGAAGCTTTAGAATTGCTAAATAAAATGTAAAACTTTTTTTGTCGTTGATGCCTATGATTAAGACGATCTGAAGACATATAAATATTGGAAAATAAATGGCTATTTATGTTTTTCTAAATGGTCTAAATTTCTAAATATTTCTTAATTGAGGACGGATATTCTGTATATATTGGCCTACTTAAAAATACATTTTTGTACATTACTTGAACAGAAGCAAAATTTTAAAACATTTTATTTTTATTTGATAAACAGAATAATATAAAAGTCTTCACTCTTTAACTCCATCCGTGAACCACTTAGATAACGATGTCAGACACATTGAATCTAGATCTATATTATGACATACTTAAATTTGCCAAATTACATTACATTAAGTTAATTTAAATTTAAATGTGCCACTTAACTTATTGAAGTTATACATATTCTATCCACGAACGGAAAAGAATATTATATATAGTCACTATACATCAAGTTTCTAAAATATGATGTTATTTTAATGCAAAGTTGTCTCTCTTATTAACAAATTCCACTAGATACATAAATAGCTACTATGCTTTGCCATGTTGTAGTTAGACAAAATATTTTCTTCTTAAACTATTAAAAGACTTTGTAGAAAATATGGTATGTAACTTATTCAAAACGGTGTTTTTGGTAGTTTATGAGCTGTTAATTGTCGCGAATCAAATACCACCTTTTACATAACACACATTCCAGAAACGTATAGTTGACAGGTTATCTCTGATAATAAAAGATAACGTATAATTTACAAATTCCAATTTAGAAAATAAAATAAAGCATTGTAAACTTTGTTGTAATAATTTTGAAAATCTAAATTCATCAAAAATGTGCTACACCTTATTCTTGAGAACCAACTGCAGAAACTCAAACATTGACAGATAAGTGGTATTTAATAGAAAATAATTTGTTCCTGTTAAAATTATCACTGTTGTTTGTTATTGAGTTACTAACTTTATTGTTAAAATACTACATACTGCAGAACATCAGTGAGACTCTATAGAAAAATTTGTGATATTTAGTTAAAGCTGTTTTACATTGACAATTTATTGATCAATTAATTGATGAAGTCGCTTCGTCAAGAAATTGGACAAGCGTAATGCACCAAATCAGCTGCCAAATAACCTTCAGTTCTTGACGAATTAGAGCATGTTCTAATTTTCGTCAATTTCTTCGTGAAGTTCGGAAGTACCAACCCAACAGATTTCCAGCCTCAGATCAGTAATGAGGTTATGTTATTGGAATATGTAAATAATTGTGTGGCGTCGTGCTAGTTTTGCATTGTTTTTACTGATTTGTTACTTACAAAAACTAATATTTATATAATATGTATCAGAACGGTACCGCTGTTGTATCACTACAATTATGAGTGGAAAGGTGACATTTTTGAAATTTATTTGCTTCTTTGATTCATTGGTAGAACTGACTCATACGTCAAAAAACTTGACAAAGTTTACCAAAAAAATCGTGAATTAATTGATGAAGAACTTCGTCAATTTATTGATGAATAAATTGTCAATGTAAAACAGCTATAACAATTACACAGATAGGTATTGTAAGATTTTTAATAATTGCAAAATTGCATTTAAAACAGTGTTTTAAGTGCTTTTAAGTGTTCTTTTCAAATTCTTGAGAAGAAAAAGAATTCTCTTGAATAAAACATTTAAATTGATAAGAAAAATATAAATATAAAGTATACAAGGTGTCCCGAAATTAGGGGGCAGTATTTCTACAGGGTGTTCTATGTAGAAAAAGATTACTTTTTCTGTATATAAACGTGGGTCCAAAAACTCTTCCTAAAGCAGTTATAGCCACTTATAGGGGCCACTCTGATGATGGTTTTTACTAAATAACTCCGAAACCAGTTGAGATAAATTTATGAAATTTGGTAACTAGCTTAACTCTTACGTGCTCAGTCCGCTACTAAAACGGAATTAACAAATTTTCATCACATACGCTCGAACAGTGGGGGCGGGGTGGATAGGTACAGGTGCCTCCATGTTGTTATTGCTGTTATTGATCTTGCTGATGCTGCCGCTTCTATTGTTGTTGTTGTCGTCAATAACAGCAGCAGAAACAACGGCAGTAATAATATGTACAACAGCAGCAGCAACAACCACAACTAAAGCACACTCCTTTAGTCTATAATCATAGTATTCCTAACTAAATAGTTAGATATCCCTTACTGTAGTAGACAATGCATTGCGAACTCGATAGAACGCTTTGTATCCTTCTCACGCTTACTGTCGACTAAGGAAACCGGTTCAAGTAACAAGACTTAAGAGCGTCATCAACATCGTTGCCTTAGATAAGTTGTCGTTGTTATTGCTGCTATTGATCTTGCTGATACTACCGCTTTTGTTGTTGTTGTCGTTGTTGTTGTTGCCATAGTAGAGTAGTAGTTGCAGTAGTAGTTGTTGTAGTTACCGCTGCTGTTGTTGTCATTCTTATTGATTCTATACTACAACAACAACGACAACAACAACAACCGTCTACATTCCACGGAATATCAAAACCCAACCGCTACAACTACATCTCTCAATATCTGACTTGACCGCCGTAAGAGTAGAATGTGTAGCTAAAGGTAAACAACTGTGGTTGTCCTAGTATCAGTTTACCTCCCAGACGACTTCCCAGATGAATCGGCTACCCCACCACCAACACGGGAAATGGTGGAACTGGTAGCATACTGCCCCACCCAACTCACACCATGTAACTTGGAGCAGTGAATGCAACAAACCAAGAGGTAAATGATATGATTACATTAACTCTAACAGCCTCTGCATAAGTAACAGAGGCTGCGAACTGGCATTTCTTAACTCTAGATGTCAAACAGTAATAGAAGTCGCAATAACTTCGGCGTGTATATCTTATTTAATCCAGAACACCATGTCTCAATGTCAGATCATCGGATAAATTTTGAGATCAATCTTAGTAAGACTCCTACCAAACTGTTTCGGGAACCTCGAGGAACTGACAAGGAAAGATACCTATGTCACCTCCGAGAGAACCTAATAGCAACGCAAGAACAGGAGCCCATAAGGATAGTGGAGAAACTGAGGTGTTCGTTCGTAAATACCGTACAATCTGCCACAAAAACAGTTTTTGAAGCATCTTGTCCTCTTAGGTTAGAGCAACAACCCGGTGAAACCACGAGTTGGTGGAACCGGGAGTTGAGCGATCTAAAGAGGAATGCTAGGAGATCATTTAAAAGAGCAAAAGCTACCAGACGAGATTCAGACTAGAAAATATATGCGACCCTACACAGTACTCACCAAAAATGAGAAGGAGACCGCCAGTAAGGGTGTAATTAACATCTTCACTGACGGATCAAAAAGGTAAAGAAGGTACAGGATGTGGGATTTATTCTAGATACCGATGTCAGTGGGCTATGGATGTACGTGCCACCGTGATACAAGCGGAACTGGCAGTTATAACCATAGCTGCTAAAGCAATTGCCCGCAGGTAGATAACGGGCAAATGTATTAGAATCTTCACATATAATAGACAAGCAGTACTGATTTTGCATAATCGGAAGATAACGTCCAGATCGGTATGGGAATACCACCAAGCGCTGGTGGTGGTCTCACCTATCGACAGCATATCTGTTAAGGAACTCGACCGGTGCAATTGCAATAAAGAAGCTGACAAGCTAGCTAGGAGGGCATCGGGTCTTACTATCTTTGGACCAGGTCCCTCCAGTATGCTCTCGTTGTCAGCACTTTTTGAAATGATTAAGGAAAACACCCACAAACAGTTTAGAACACGATGGAGTGAAATAAACAGCTGTCAATTTGCTAAGGAGTTCTTAAGATACCCCAGCAAAGAAACAGTCAAAATGTACCTGGCTATGTTCAGGGTAAGACTTCGCCTGGTGAGGGGTATTCAGATCGGACGCTGTTGGCTAAGGAAACACATCTACAACATGAGGAAGTGCGAAACACCTCTATGTAGAGATTGTGAGCAGGAAGACGAGACAGTTTTCCATGTACACTGTGACTGCACTGGTGTCTCGTCAGCGAGAAAATCCGTACTAGGAGACCGGTGGCCTTCTATGGTCTACATCAGGTAGATCCCCTTGAGCAACGTCATCACCTTTTTCTCCTTGATAGGTTAGTTGACGCCTCAGGTGAGCTGATCTCTCGCTGGGCGGATACACAAAGGGCCCAATGGGGCCT